TACTCAAAGTACCAAAAGTAAAAGTACTTATTAAGCAGAATGGCCCATTTCAGAATGACACATAGTTTATTATTAGATTATAATTATCATGCATTAATGTGTTTGTTACTTTAATGTTGCAGCTGGTAAAGGTGGAGCTAATTTTAATAAATTGATATACTGTATTTCCTCCACTGAGTGGTTAGTTTTGAATTTATGGTTTGTTACTTCCATAGCCTGGATTTTCATTCAGCAGGTAAGAGCGGTGCAACACAGGTGGCAACTAGGAAGTTATTATTGGTGCAAAACAATTGAGCACCTGTGACAATCAAATTTATCTTGAAGGTACTGAAGCAAAACAACTGAGCACCTGTGACAGTAAAAATTACCTTGAAGGTACTTTTGAAGCAAAACAACTGAGCACCTGTGGAATTTGCCTTGAAGGTAATTTTTGGACGCTGATGGTGGAAAATAGTCACACATGTGTCAGTAAATTTGAAGTCACAGAGAAAATTACTTTACAAGTTGCAAACTTTTACTTTCCTCTGCTTCCTGGTTGTTTTCTGGAAGCTGGACCCAGAATTTGCCAAAGGGATGACATGTTACCAGTGGCAATGTTACATAAACTTTCTCATCCATCCTGTTCCTCCGGAGCCAGTCACTCCGGCCCAGAATACCAGTTTTCAGCCAGCTAGACTCTGGCCTGCTAGCAACCAGACCTGCTAACAGTCAGTCAGACTATCTACAGCTTGCTAACCTCCTGTTAGCGCCACTGAGTCTGTCCCTGTTCCCTGCTACTCAAAACAGACTCATTAGTCTTCCTTCTGGAGTTCCAGGCTAGCCTTAAGTCGGTCCCCCCAAGGAAACAGAACAAAATAGAGACTGCTGGACGTCCAGCTCTCTTTTTAGTTGGCCCTTCCTGTGGAGCCCACAGACTGTTCAGCCAGATAGTCTCTTGGCTAAATGTAAATGCTCCGTACTTGTATAGCGCCTTTCTAGTCTTTTCGACCACTCAAAGCGCTTTTACACTACATCTGCATTCACCAGTCATACACATTCATACACTGAGCCTAAGTGCTCAAACGGAAACTAACATTCACACTCACTCATACACTGGCGGAACAGCCGCCAGGGGCAATTCGGGGTTCAGTATCTTGCCCAAGGACACTTCGACACGCAACCAGGGGGAGCCAGGGATTGAACCGCCGACCTTCCAATTAACGGCCAACCCGCTCTACCTCCTGAGCCACAGCCGCCCCCCCTGCCCAGCTCCTCGTCCACGCCGCTGCAGCCCAGTGCTGAAGGTATCTCGTTGCTCGGCCTCCCAGACCGGCTGTTCAGAATCCCACAGACATTGTTGTCCATCTTACCAGAGACTCAGCTGGCTAGCACTCCAGAGACAATGTTGTTCAGTACCACAGAGGTACCGCCAGTCCTGCCTGGATCCTATCGGTGGTCCGGCTGATTCCTGCTCCCCGTGTCCACCCAGCGGCTCGGCCGACTACTGCTTCCCACCGTCTTTAGCACCACCCCTGTGCTTCAGTTCCCTGGTCACTTGTCCCTGAATCCCTCCTCCGCACCTCCCTCCACCCACCCTGGTTTGACTTGGACCTTCTTTCCCACCTGCCCCAATTTGCACCTGTGTCTCATTATCTCCGCCCTTCTTGTGTATATGTCTTTGTCTGCCACTTGTTTGGTGTTAGCTCGTACTTTGTCTATGTTTAATTGGATTTTGGATTATTGCCTGTTCCATTCATTGGCTGTTTGTCCGCATCGATTCTGGATTTATTTTGCCTTGTTTTGGACTGCCTCCCTCACGTCCGTTGTAAGTTCCACCTATAGTTAATAAATCTACTCCGCATCTACTCTGCCTTGTGTTCTGCGCTGGGTCCAAATCCCCTGTATTCCTGTGTCAGCGCTCAACGTGACAGGTTGTTTTGTAAAACTGATTCACTTACAATTCAATAACACACCAAAATGACCTGATAAGATAGTGTATTTTAAAACAATAGAGAAAAATGAGAAAGGAGATATTTTAACATGCGGTTTCATTCAGTGCAGGACTGTGCAGTCACAGCCTCCTTCAAGGCCAACACACCGGAGAGCAAAAAAATTTAAATGTGTGATTCCATCATTAGGGAAAAAAAAGTTGCTGCTCTGCAGACAATGAGCTGTGAAAGATGGTAAAACAGAGGGAGGCTGTTTTTAAGTATCAAAGGACATTTTCTGCATGTGGGAACTCAAACAGCCGTTCTGTTTGTCCTTTAAATCAGCTTTATTATAAACAGTCTGGAAAATTTGATGTCAAAATATCCCAAATGTGACTCGTAGATTTGTGTTACCAGGTTTTTCCTCGACGGCAGGAGAAATATTCACAGATACCTCACAGTCAGCTTCCATTTGCATAAAAAAAATCGTCTATTTTCTGAACGGAAACAACATGTAGCTTCATGTTTTAAAAATAAATTAGCTGATTATTTGGAAAAACAGGTACGGCAACGGTGTGATATCTCTTCTCTGGCTTCATCAATATTCCAGTCAATGTGTTTATTTGGCTTCTGCAGCATGACACATTTCCAGCAGAGCCCGTGTTGCCATGGTTTAGCCGAGCGTCAAACCATGGAAACAGTAATCAGGAGGCCACGGTGGTCTGATCGATTTCAAAGGGAGCCAACAATATTAATTTCTGACAAAAGGAGAGAATTGTGTAGGCTCAGAGTTTGCTGTTATTCTAATGTGATGAAGATTTGATGGATTTTTCTTTGAGGCCGGTCTGAGCCGGTCAGTTTCTTCCTCCACTGTTGTCCAGAAACTATTAAAACCCATCACTGCTGCACTGGGTCACATGTTCCTTCATCACCACCGTGAACACACACCCTGTAGTTTATTCCGACTCAGTCCCACACACACCGTCCTGCTGCACCAAACACTCACTACAGCACCACACGTGGATTCATCCGCCACTGAAAATAGTCCCCCACAAATGCACAATTTAGACTTTTAAAAAAATTATTAGTAAAAATATATATTCTCAAAGATTTACGAATGTCTTTCATAGGACTTGGATAATTAAGGGACGGACTAACAAATTGTTGGTATTGGTTCTTTCATGGAGTTTGTTGACAATAACGACAATATTATAGATGAACACCAGCTTTATCTGTTAGTAAAACTTTAATTATTTCCATTTTGCAGCTGGATCCAGATGTGAATGAAAATATGAACTACCAGGATTAGTTTTGCCCCCAACATAATAAACATAATAACAGTTCTTTAATCAACATTTCTGAACGTATCTGTAAAACAATCGCTGTCAGTTTGTTTCCCGACAGTATCTGAAGAAAAGCACGATAAACAATGTCATGGCTCTGTTGAGGCACTCTGAAGTTCTTTGTTAAGGTTTGAACATTAAAGGTAGCCTGTGGAGTTTTTGAACAGCAGCACAATAGAACAATGTTTTTACGAGTGGGTCCCCGTTTTGTTTGCTCTAGTGCACGCAAAAGTCAATAGTTTCAGACTAAACCACCGATCCAGACGTGGCGGTAAGGACGCCAACACAGCAATGCACCAAGAAAGGCAGTGAAAAGAAGGCAGCTACCTTAACCTGGGCTGCAGTCGGCTTCTTCGTCCTGTGTCCTTTCCTAACCACTTTTCCTTGACCTCGTTGGAAAATGTCACAAGGTCAAGGAAAGATGTGAAGGTGAATTCATAAGGACCTTGATAAAAGACAAGAGAATCTGACTGCACTTAAAAATCAAAATCTTTAACACGTGGAAGATAAAATTAGTGACAAACTCAGTAAGGTTTCCTGTCCAACACAAAATCGCACCTAACCTAGAAAGCTAGGTCACATTTAACCATCTAGTACTCTAGGAAGTAACAACAAAACAAATACGATTTAAATGTTGAAATTAATATTATAACGGGTGAATATAACTAGAAATTCAATATGCTTGTTTTTCAAGACTCCCAGTAACTGAATGGATTTGACATAGAAGAATAATCTAGATTTATGGTTTAGGAGCTCATCATAGGGATTTCTAGACATTTTGGATCGCGTCACAAGCATAAAAAAGGAGCTCTGTTGTTTCTACATTTACGTGGGTCTGCAGTGGTGAAACTACAAAGCTGCGTCGCTTTAAAAGTTGCTGGGGCAAGGAATTGTGGGACGGCATTATCTCTTATCCTTTTGTAAAGGATGGTCAAGTGTACCCTATGCTAAAGGAGATCAGCATTGAGGCACATTTCCTTAGCCACTTAAACACTTCCGGATCATTTCACTCAGTTAGAAACCTTCCTCAGAAAGCTTCCAAAGAAGACTATTCAACCGCAGCCCTGAGTTTTATGAGCAAGGCAATTACTGAAAATATATGTCAGACCTGGATGATTCACACAATATGTTTTAGTGAGAAACAGTGAATGTAAACAGAAACTTTGTTTACAAGAAAACTCCACAAAAGTCACGGGTGACTTGAAACCAGGCGTGTTTACCTTGAGTATTTAACCAGAAGGGCCATCTTCCCTGGACATTTACTAAATTGTTTTAGTGACCTAAACCTGACCACACTCAGAATGACTTCTGTGGGGCACAAGAGCTTCATGTACTGGAAGAAACGTTCAAAATGTTCATGAGACACGGAGCCTCTCCCAGCAACCTGTTCTCACTCCTGTCGTCACATATGGACGTGTCGGTTTGTAATGCACTGAGGAGCGCCTCACTGTCAGAGTTCAGCATACCAGGGGAAGCCCTGCAGCATTGTTTCTTAACACTAAAGGTGGGTTTAGGACATTTAACAGACACGTCTGAGTAAGGAGGTGGTTGGGGTGGATGGAGGGCCAGAAACCGGACTTTCTCTCTGGAGACCAGTGTTCATTTCCTGAGTGAAACAACGGCTACGTGCAGACTGCAGGCCAAAGTGACCCAAATCCGATTTTGTTTTTGCTCATATGTGAATCAGATCTGATCTTTTTATGACAGGCCAAGTCACATGAAATCTAAGCTTTTCCAGTTCGGAATTGGGCCACTTCCAAATGTGCGGATCTTTTTAAATGCGACCTCAGTCTGGACACTCTCTGGCGTCACTCTAGAGCAGCTGTTGTCACAGTTCTACAGTTGTAGAGGGAGCCACAGTGAACGAAAAAGCTCCACAAAAGCCTTTATTAAACATGTGGCTCTCTTCCTCCTCTACTTTGCTATCATCTGCTCACAACTTCCCTTTCTTACACCTGAAATCCACCGGGTCACAAGCTCTCTTCTGAGATATGTAAATACTGTTTATCCGAGCGGACACAGTGGGGAAAGATAGAGTGACTGAGTTGTAGGGAAGTTTCGTTGTACAGCGCCAGAAACCAGAATAAATAACAGAAAGTGGTGAAAACTTGTCATAATTCGGGAGAAATGTGACCCGTGACAGGACAATGAAAAACGGGAGTCTCCCGTGAGCTACCTGGAGCTAAACTCTGTTGCTCCTAAACCCAACCAAGTACTTTTGGTGCCCAAACCTAACCAAATTGTCATGTTTCACAATCTTAACAAGTACTTTTATTTTGAAAGTCAAACTGGTCCTAAAAAGCGACGCCAACGGATCTTGACCAAGCGTCCATATGTGACCAGTTTGGAGAGAGAATGTGTTGCTCCCAGCATGCACTGTGGGGAACACGTTGGACAGGTCACCAGTCTATCACCAGTAAATTTTTAATTCTGATGTACCGGTTCCCACAGAGCTAGACTGATGTTTTCTCCCAAATCCATCTTCTAAATACTAATTGTAATAGCATTCTGTTTTGCAGTTAGCACACAAAAAAAGTCCACATACAATTATACAAAATGAGTGCTTTTAGACTTCCATCAAATTGCAATTTTAAAATATTACTTTCCTATTAAACAAAAAGAAAGCAAAGGATTTCATACATTTAGTACTTAGTGCACGTCACATGAAGTCCCAAATGCAAAAAACTGCACCAAACCTACACACTGTAACACAATAGTGAACCGCAGAGTGAAGGAACCCTCGTTAGACTGTATGTACACTGAGCTGTGCACATTAATATATTATCCCCCTCGTGCACAGATTCAGATGTGCAGAAGAAAAATGCAGAAAGGAAGCAGGCGTGCATTTCATTACGCTTTCATAACTGACATTTTCCTCATGGATATATTTTCTCCTGCTGATTAAGTTACGAACCGTTAACGCCGTCACGCAGCACATCCATCAGCTCACATCTGTGTAGCGTTTCATCACCGCCAAGCAGATTAAAATACCACAGCAGATTCTGACAAAGATAAAACAAATGTCAACCCTCTCTTTCTCACACATTGTTTGCAGTACTTGTGCCTCAGAATCACGTTTAAAACAGATGTTTAATCAGAAAAATGAGAACGTGGGCCAACTATCGTAACCTCATGATGCCATAGACCTTTTATTGATTTTTATTTTTTCAGTTTTCACAACAGCAGCAGTGCTTTTTTGTGCTCCAAGTGGGTTGGATTTCATCCTCCAGAGCAGAGCAGTTACAGTGCATCGCCAATGTGTGCAGAAGCGTTGTACAGCAGAAGCTAACCTGGATGAAATGCAACTTCCATTTGGATTTGACAGAGCCACCAGATGAGTTTCACACTGAGCTGATCAATACTGTACACAAAGAGGCTATTCATCACAGAGCCGCAGTAGAGCAGGATGGCTACAGTACGTCCACGTCGTGATTTGGCTCTAACATTCAACATGGCTGCCGAAAAAGTCACCAAAGGTGGGAGCCAGCGTCGTCACGGTGCTCTGGCAGTTCTCTTTGATGTGAGGGGGATGGCCATCCTACAGCAGGACTTTCTGTCATGTATTATTCTGTTTTTATAGAAAAATGTATTTTAGAGAGACTCTTTCTGCTTCTACCGGTGCAACAAACTCCCTGCAGCTGTTGTGTGGCTGCTTCCTAAATTTCTCCAGAGACTATTAGTCATTTTTTCCCCCTCTTTTAATTTTTATGCTCCAGGAGAGCCGTGTTAAAGGACTAGGTTCATATTTTAGTAAATCGTTTTTTTTAGCTTTACAGTTAGATAAACAGAAAGATGCCACTCTCATGTCTGAGTGAAGCCAGAGTCAACTGGTAGTTAGCTTAGCTTAGCATAAACAAAAGGGAAACAGCTAGCCTGGCTTTGTCCAACGTTTAAAACATCAGCCCATCCAGGATTTCATGATGTCACCATGGCAACTATTAAAACAAATTCAACACATCCCTGTAAATTCCTTCACATTAAATTTTGACAAATCTCCTAAATTTTTACACAAATCTTACCAAATCTGATTGGTGCTGTTTGGCGCAAAACATTGTCACACGTCAGCAAACTCACTTCTTTGTTTACAAGTCCCAGCAAACATGTTTGTAACCAACGTCTCACATTTGCTGACAAAAAAGCATTGTGGTCGAACATAAAAGAAATTGTGTATTGACACAAAACGTACATGGAGAGTTGCAGAAACTCATGGAGGACGTCAGACGAGACAAATCACCGAGACACAGGCTGCTGCGTCCCTGTCAGCTGCAAGCACTGAAAGAATCAGGGTAAACTGGTTTAAATTATGCAGGGTTGGGCCCGCCAAATCCTGGAGGGACTGTTTAATGATTCAACTCTAAATCTAACGTTAAAAAAAATCACATCTATTTTTGTAGTTTTCACTTATTACTACAATTACGTCGCAAAAAAATGCCCCAAAACATCTCAAAATTAGGCATTTTAGGCAACAATCACAAAGCAGGCCAGCGAAATCTCGGAGTGACTGAAATACACCTCCTGCTCACCAATTAACCAAACTGAAATGTAAAAACAGTATACAGATTAAACAAATGTGGTAAGTGTTACTGAGCTTTTGGTGTGTTAGTCAGCAGACTGCTTCCAGTCTTTATGCTAAGCTCGGATAATATTCCAGGTGTTGGACCAACGCGTTCTCGGTGGTGTCAAAGTTCAACACACTTGGTGAAGCCCGGTTGCGTCACTATTGAATGCTAAAGGTAGCTGAGGGATATTCAACAGATAAGACAGAGTATTGTAAGTATTATGTAAGTTGCGTAAGTTACATTACGTAAGTTGTGTATGTATGTAAATGTAAATTAACTGACATAAGTAATGTAGTTATTTTAACTGTGATCTTTTTCTAAACCTAACCAAGTAGTTTTGTTGCCTAAACCAAACCAAATTACTGCGTTTCACAACGTGCCATTTCAAAATTAAGACATTTTGCAACATTTACACGTTTATTCTGAAAGTCTAACCGGACGTTGCATAATTATTGTCGCTAACTTGACCGCAGAGCACTAAACGTTGAAAAACGAACCTGAACATGGGCATAAAAAAGCGATGCCTTGCGTTCTTGAATGTGTTGGTTGGGAAGTTCTACTGCATAAATTTTAATATAAAGTCTTTAGTGTCTCAAAGAAAGCTGTGTAAAGTCTACTAAAAGTCCTCGAGTGATGTCACTTGAGTCAAGTTTGAAAATGAAACCAATCTGTTGGCGTGGATTTAGAAAGACGTGAGCTTACCAGTAGCTGCTGCTCGTCCCTGCTACAGGCTACATTAGCCGCTACTAGCACGATACATCCGAATCTCCGACCAAACTGTTGATGGTTGCGTTGCATTGTGGGTAACGTAGGCGCCATGTTTTGACTGGGAAGAAGAACGTGTGGAATGACAAAAGAAGATATCTCTGGTGCTGCTGCATCGATTTTGATCCTTTAAAACAAACGTCCATCGTGAGTCCGACAGTTTTGTAGGAAAGCATCAAAACTCTTTTTAACACGCAGACATGAGAGTGACATCAACTGTCTCATCTAACTCTTGGCCCATTACCCCACAACTCTTCCTTAAAATCAACAGGACAGGGTTCCTACACATTTCTGAGATCACACGCTAATTCATTGCATGACCAGCGAAGCCAGGATTTTAAAAATACTGAAGTCAATTTTCCCAGTAATCCCTAAATATTTAATACATTTATTTAACTTTTAAATCATACTTTATGTAATTTTATCTCCTTGATGTCTTCACCACAATATCAAGACTTAAATTCCAGTAGAGCAAATGACCTTAAGTACAATTTATTTATAGTGTAATTTATATTTAATTTGGCCTAAAAATACTCAAATTTAAGAACTTTGATTTCAAGAAATTGCAGAGCTGATGCTTCATATGTAATTTATACTCCTTAACTTTTAACCCCCCATATTTCCTGACTTCATGACTTCAGCTGCAGCCTTGGACATGAGTAGCATGATTTCCAACACCATTACTTTCTTGTTGTTGTTGTTGTTGTTGTTGTTACAGCTTTTGCATATTTTTTTCTGCAACGCAAACAGATTTAGAGTTTTTTCAGTTTGATATTTTTTTCTTCAAAAAAATGCTCTTTTAAAGGGATCAACAGCTGCTAAAGCTTGACATTTAACATGTGACAGTTTGGTGGGAGGAAAAAAAAAGGGGGGAGATTTTGATCAGAATACCGTGACATTTTCCAGCGCTTAAAAAAAAAAATCATCTTCCACAACTTTTCTAGGTGTGGAAGACGCAAATGCCAAATTCCAAGAGGTGACTGTAGGAACCCTGGGTCGTCAAGCCTGTTTCGACTAGATCTGGATTTGTGTTTGTTTTAGCCTGACATGAAATGGAACATCACAGCTAATATTAACAATTAACAATTCATCTTTTAACAAGAGGTCTGGTAGATAGCGTCGGGCTCTGCAGTTTGCACTATATTACAGTGTAATACCCATTCAATTGAGCAAAATCCAGACTCTTCAGCAAATTAAGGTAAAGTCACACTGATGCATACAGATTCGTACATTTACACTCATTTTGGAGCCTTGAACTCCAGCAATAAAATTAAAGAAAATGCATGCACTGGCCACGAGAATAAACCAAATCTTTATGTTTTTTTCTCTGACTGAACTCGTGCTTTTCTCTCCATCTGGGCCAGGCACGTCTGAGGAACTAAAATAAACATGTTGTAGGCACCAGTATTTCCCCTTATTGAGTCAGGAAAATGAAACACAAATTGTATTTTTTGCCCTTGGGGCTCATGGTCAGCTTAGCTAACCTAAGCTGCTTGTGCTTACAAGCCAACTGATGTTGACTGTCAAACTCATATGGCAATGTGAGTCTGTAGGCTACAGTCCAGTGCAGCACGTACAGGCGGGGGTAAGGGTGGGGGGCCCTGCACCTGGGGCTATGGGCTTCCTCCAAGTCATTACATATCAACTGCAAACCAGTCACGTAGCTTCCACATCATCACATCCACCGACATTTCTCCTCCTCTCCAATGGCTGGGAAATGACAGCCATTCATTAGACAGCGCCATCAGATAGCACAATGCAGACTGAATGGCGGGTCAATGCATTTCCACAGTCCTCTGCACCATCTATCAGCTGAACGCTCATTCTGCAGCCACATTATCATAAACAATCTGGATGTTGGGGATTTTGCCCTCAAGGGGGGAACCTTGTAGAGGGAAATGTTTGTGGGGTGATGGGGAGTTTGACTGGCATTATACAGATGGTTAGAGAGAGGAGGGGTTATTTCTGTGGCTGGTAATAAGCGTTTATGCCCTGCAGCATTTAAACCGTATTAGTTTGTGGAAAGCCTGTTTAAAGTCCTCGTTGGACATGGTGTAAATGATGGGGTTGATTAAGGAGTTGAGGTAACCCAGCCAGGTGAAAATGTCAAATAACTCCGGGTGGAAGCAGGACTCGCAGACAGGCACTAGAAGAGTGTAAATGAAAAACGGGAGCCAGCATATGATGTAGGCTCCCAGGATTATTCCCAAAGTTTTGGTCGCCTTCCTCTCCCGGGCGGCGGAGATCCGCTTCTTCTCCAGCAGCGCGTCGGACACAGTGACTTTGACTTGGCTCACGTTCGCGGGCGAGGTAGTGTCACAGGAGGAGGTGTCGTTCGTCCCGTAGTTCAGAGAGGTCGTGGACGCCACCGAGCCGGGGGAGTTGGTGATCAGGTGCGCGGAGGTGAGTCTTTTCCCCGGCTTGTTGTGCGACTGCTTCAGGATGCGCTTACGGGCTTCCACGTAAATCCTCCCGTACAGGGCGATGAGCAGCAGCGTGGGGATGTAGAAAGCGCCGAAGGTGGAGTAAATGGTGTAGAAAATGTGGTCGGTGTTCACGTTGCAGGTCGTCACCTCCTCTGCTTTCACTTGGCGCCAGAAGAAAGGCGGCAGGGAGATGGAGATGGCGATCACCCAGGCGGTGGCGATCATCCCGGCTGCGCGCCCCGGCGTGCGCTTCTTGGAGTACTCCACCGCGTCCGTGATGGCCCAGTAGCGGTCCAGCGCAATTACGCACAGGTGGAGGATGGACGCGGTGCAACACGTTATGTCCGAGGACAGCCATATGTCGCACACCACCTGCCCCAGTGTCCAGGTTTGGCTGACCGTGTACAGCGCGCTGATCGGCATCACCAAAATGGACACCAGGAGGTCCGTGACGGCCAGGGAGGCGATCAGAAAGTTTGCCGGGGTGTGTAATTTTCGGGACTGGTAAATGGTGACGATGACGAACGCGTTTGAAAGCGTCGTGGCGAAAGTTATGAGGGCTAAGGTCACGGCTAGACCCGCCTGGAAAGCCACGTTACTGTCCTTCTCCGTTTTCGACGTGAAATTGGCATGGGTGTAGTTGGCGGAGATGTTCAACAGCTCTCCGTAGATGACAGGCGTTGGTTTGAGCTGACTTGCATTCTCCATCCCTCCACCTTCCCTCGTCAGATTCCCCTGTCATTGAGCTCAAAGTAAAGCCTGGAGATCACTCTGAAATCACTCAAATATTCATCCACCAGGCGCGTTTCTCGTCTTCTGAAAACCCAAAATAAAAGCGGCTCCATCTCCAGCAGACGCGCAGCAGCAGTTATCCAACCATCAGACGACAGGTGTTGCCACAAAGACGCATTTTTGCCTCCTTCTCTTCATCTTATTCACTTCACCCGCAGCATTTTACACTATTTAATCAACTTAAATAGGCCTATCCATGGAATAAAAACAAAGCGGCACAAAAAGCTGCCTCTCCATCATCCACAAACATCTTTCTGTGAAATCAAGTCATATCAGGATCCAGTGTCAGAGCAGAAATGAAAAATACTAAAATGCTGTCTCTATTAGCTGGTTTTTAATCCGCGCACAGTCTCTTCACAAGTTCAGAGCTGCTGAAGTCTGACTCCTGGTTTTATACTGCTCTCTCTCTCTCTCTCTCTCTCTCTCTCCCCCCCCCCCCCCCCCCCCCCCCCCCCTTCCCTCCCTCTATGTTTCATACATTTCTATGACCTGTTTTCTCTATCAGGACTTTTTTTAGGCCAACACCTATATTAATATTTACCATAAACTCAAGATTTAAACATTTTCAGAATTCCTTATTTTAATAATCGTGACACAGGTAAGTAGTGACCGACATTTTACACTGTAAAAATAAACCTGTCAGTGTTGGTTAAATTATGATGCTGTTTCTAAATTGACCTCCCAAGCTGAGGTTCAAAGTTCATTCTTGAAAACTTCTTCCCTAACAGCAACTCCATCTAGCCTATAAATAAAAACCATGTGATAAAATTGAAATCTCCAGAACGAAAAGGACCTTTTGTTGGGATTGTGCTCTCAGCTTCCTCAAACATACTTCACCATTCTTGTAGTTTTTGTCACTTATCAACCAACATATACACCTATAAGGGCATGAGTCCAATTCTTCCACTCTAGAAATACATTTCTAATGGCAAAATACTGAATACTTAATTAAATTAATTTTAAAGCAACACAATAGGTGTGTTTGACTACATGCGTTGGATGCTGAGAAATTTTGTCCAATTTTCACTGGCGCTGCAAAACATCACCATGTCACATGACATTAAAACCTCCCGGGAGCAAAACGGCTGCAGTTTTTTGAGTCCGGTGACTACAGTTATTTTTCTCTGGCTGCACCAAGCAGGAACCACCTTTTGCCTGAACTCGGCATTGTTCTCAGCTCACGCACTCTACAGCTTCATTTATACTCCTGCGTAGGGTCTACGTGCGTAGCTACGCTGTAGGCTAGGCACGTAGACAGGCATTTATACTTGTGCGTCGGTGTGTCCGTCATTCTGCAATACACCCCCAAACGCTAGTCGGCGGTAGCGCTACAGCGTCCGCTGTGTTGACTAACGTGAATGGGGGTAAAATTGTAAACGTGCGGCTGGTGTAACCTTTTCAGATGTGACAGACCGAATGGATCACATCCTGATAGGGAAACAAGTCATTTCGCTCAGGTTGCGACGGTGAAATATATTAATCCGACTACTAAAAGTTACTACAAAGCACGGCGACTTCCGGTCGGCTCGGAGGCATTGCGAGGCTTCCCAGCTGACCTATCACAGAGCTTACGGTCCGCATCGACTCGACGTGTAGTTACATTTTGAAGGAGGTGCACGTCAGGCGACGACGTAGCCTCTACGTAGCCCCGTAGCCTACGCCGTTGATTTGACACAGAAGTATAAGACTTAAAGCTGATGATACACGGGGCAACTTGTTGAGCAATGTTCCTGGTGGCAAGTACGACTATGTTTTGAACGGATAGCGGCGGGGCGGGAAGGGGATTATAGTAGTAATCTGTACTCATTACCATTGACGGGAACATTGCCCAGCACCATTGCTCTAAAAGTTGCTCCGTGTATCATCAACTTAAGGGAACTAGAATGTGTCCGACTTGACGGCAGTATTTTGGCTGCTCACGTTTCACTATCAAGTCAGCAAACGCCTGCCGCATCATCTCCAGCTTACCTTATGTGAGATTTGGTGTTTTCCGCGATTTGGTGCAATTCACGGCCGTGGTAAATAAAATCAGCTGATTCAAAAACTAGCAAGTCCATCACCTATAGCTTCTTCTTCTTCTTCTTGTTCTTCTTATGGCTTGCTCATTGTAGAGTCTTGTTGGTGTGTAATGTGGTGCCTTGAAGTATTACACCGTTCTCACAGTTATTTTTATTTATTTTACCTTTATTTTACCGGGAAGTCCCATTGAGATCAAACATCTCTTTTACAAGAGACACCAAGAGACAAGGTAGCAGCCGTACAGAAACACAACATAACAGCTATTCAAACACAGCGGCCTCTCAAGGAAAAACAACCACATGCCTCCATCACCTCATCCTTTATGATGGTCTTAAATTCATTGATGGATATAAATGTGTCTCTTTTTAGATCTTTGTGTAGATTATTCCATATCCAGGGTACATAGTGGGAATATGCAGTACTTGGAGTGGCAACAACAGAGATGCCATTCACTCTATCGCAGGTGAGTGTACAACTAATGTTGCCTCCAGCAGCAGAGTTTGCTCAGTTATCAGTTCCAACCAAAAGAGCCCTTTTGTGAACATTTAGAAAGTTTGTGTATGACAACAGAGCAAACCCTTCTGATGAAGACCAACAGCTGCCGTTTAAAGCTGGTAAGTCAACCTTTAGTTAAAATTTTTTCAGTCAATCTACTGTTCCTAAAGGACATAAAAGGAACTGTCACACTCAGATATATTTTTGTTTGGCTAAAATAAGTAAAATGTGAATATGATGAGTCTAAAAATGGTGGAATCAGCATTTAACCCATCACCGCTTGTTTTTAAAATTGACAAACTGCCCTGCAGGTTGCAACAGAGGACACGACCTCACCTGTCCTCAGTGGCAGCTTATCTGAGACGAGATAAAATCAGCCGATGATATCGGCCGCGTCTCTGTATCAGTCGGGTTTCTGCTCAGCAATGGATCATATTCTTTGTAACTGTTTGTCCTTCACAGGTGTCCAATAAAGAGCTCTTTAAAATCACTTCCTCACTCTGTCTCTCATTCTAAAAATAACAATTCAGGCTGAAACTAACGATTATTTTCATGACTACTTATCCTGCCCAATGTTTTCTTGATTTAGCATTTGATCTTTAAATGTCAGACAATATTGCAAAAAGCCAGTTACAGTTCAAAATCCAATGAAATTCAGTTTATTGGCACAAAAGATGATGAAAACCAGGAAATGTTCATATTTTAGGAGCCGAAACAAGAAACTTTGTGTCATTTTTTATTAGAACACTACCTAAATGATTGTTAAAATTATTATTTTATGATATAGAAGATTTATCTATATGACAATTAATCAACAACAGCAAAAGACAAACAGAAAACAGGAAATATCAAGACGACAGGTGTTGCCACAAAGATAAATTCCTGCCTCCTTCCCTTCATCTTATTCACCCGCAGCATTTCATACTATTTGTTTAACTCAAATATCCCAAAAATAAAATGAAAACGGCACCGCTAGCTGCCTCTCCATCACCCACGGATATCGCTCTGTGATGTTTTAATCATCTTCCTAATCATATCAGCATCCGGAGTCAGAGCAGAAATGAAAATACTTTGCTGAAGATAATGAAAACTAGGAAATATTCATTTATTTAGGAGCTTGCCAGGGGACTTTGTGGAATATTTCATTAAAAAAATTACCTTAATGAATGCTAATTTTCTGTCCAGCGATTAAATAAGAATTAGTTATGCAACAACTGCAAGGTGGCGTATAAAAGACCAGGAAATGTCAAGTGAACATTTAAATTGAACAGTGAGGACAGGAAACAAAGAGCCATTACTAGAAAACAAATTTACATTTATTTGCATACCTGTAAAGTATATCTACACATATTAGCATCTATAAAAGTAGAAATAAAGATCTCTGTCTCTCTCCCGGGGTTTCCTCTGCGGAGAAGCAGGACAGCTCCTTGACCTGCAGCTCCCTCCTGACTCCATGTTTTAAATATCCGATCATAGTTTCCTGAAGGGTCGAGGGCCAAAAACACAACCTGGGACCAGAGCAGGAGGAAGTATTAGGATACTTAAGTAAAAGTACTAATACCACATTGTGACAAATAGTCCTACGTTGAAGATGTTACTTAAGTATAATCAGGAAAATGTACTTTTAAAGTAGATATTATCTCATCACATTATTATTATTCCTCATGCATTAATGTAAAAGCAGGATTTTACCACTGTAGTTGAACTATTTTGTAGTGATTTATTTTTCTATGCTTTTAACTGGTTTTTAATTCCTTTAAAATATTTTCATGTTTTTGTCTATTTTATCTTAAAATCTGATGGGGTTTTTTTTTACGACTTGTGTGTTTTATTTTCTGCCTTTGTAACATAGATTTTGAAAAGTGCTCTATACATAACGATTATCATTATTATTATTTTTATTCTGGATCAATCTGCTGATTATTTCCTCCTTTAAATCGAGTGATCGTTTGGTTTTTAAAGACTCTGCCGTCACAGGTACCCAGAGCCCAAAGTAAATACACAATGCTTGTTGTGTATTCTCTGATTCCAGCTTCTTAAATGTTTCTACTTTCTTAGCCCCTCTGTGAAAGTAAACCGAATATATTTCGGTTGTGGACAGTTTTCATCATTATTTTACATTTCATGGACCAAACGACTTATTGAGAAAATAATTGACAATGAAAATAATCATTAGTTGCAGCCCTCCTTTCCTCCATCTGTTATTTATTCAAAGTTGTTGAACATCATTGATTCTTTTAAGAACGTTAATTTCTTCTTATATAATTATATATTTCCCGCCTGGAATCAGTGAGGAACTCTATTTTCGGCATTAACTACACAGATTTTAGAAAGTTAAAAATCTGCTGCCAAACTCATAAAAGCAAGAATTTGTAAAAAGAAATGCATTTGAATGAGCTGCTGTTGTTGCAAACTTTGCTATGAGCTAAATAAGAGATGCGGTTTTTGGAGGAGGACGTAAAAGTCCTGCAGTTTTTGTTTATTCATTTGATGATCAATATATTCTGTGTGTACTTTATACAACAAAATATACGTGTGCTATGTAACCAAGATGTGCCTGCTTTGCAAACTGCGATGTAAGCAGCATGTGTTGGTTTTAAAAACGGCATCTCAAGATTAGCTAAGTGCTCTATTTAGGGATCCTGGGTGAACAACCCTAAGCGGGGCCGAGTTACTGGCGTGTTTGATGGTGACCCAGACGTGAGAAGGTCAAACAACGCCATCTCGTCTTGAAAGGGTACGCCTGACAGGAACGGGTGGTGACCCCGAGCTAAAAACCGACACCAATAGAACCAAAGAAAGACATGGGGGGAGACATGAGGCTGCAGCCCGAT